CGCTTATATACAAAAGAGACTCTCTGTGTGTGTGTGTGTGTGTGTGTGTGTGTGTGTGTGTGTGTGTGTGTGTGTGTGTGTGTGTGTGTGTGTCTGTGTGTGTATACATTCATGTTGTTAAATGGGAACAAATGAAAAGTTAGATGGTTTAACATTTGAAAATGAAGTTAAGACATAAATGAGTACTGTAATTGTACAGTCATAATGTAAATTATAATAAAATAATTTTATTTTCTTAAATACTCTGTTAAAAAAGTAAATAATGTAATTTTTTTATTTAATAGTGAAATTTCAAGAGTAATATTTCTCTTAGTACTTTCAATATTTTTATAATAATAATAATTATTATTATTATATTTTCTTAAATACGCTTATTTAATATAAGAGTTTAATATAATTATTTTAATAATCATATTTTTTTTATTTAAAGGTGAAATATTAATTATATTTAATTGAGTAATAAGAGTAATATTATAAGAGGTTTATTTAATTTTTATGTAGCAGTAGTAATAGTATAATAATAGTCTAATAATATATTCACAACATTGATATAATCACAAAATTTTGTCCAAATTTTATCATAAAAGTTGCAATTTGATTTCCCTCCTTCCCCAAATTGTGCAGCTTTAGTCATAAAACCATTAAAACCTGAAATAAAAATAAAAACTTAATTTTTTTTAATTCAGCTAGTTGCCAGGCAACATTTCTCATTTTCTTTAACATAACTTTAAAAAAAAAAATATATATATATATATTTTAAATAAAAATAACTTTAAAATTTCTTTAAAATAATTACAACTAAATAAACTAAAATAAAACACTAATAAATAAAAATGTATAGACATTAAAAAACAACAAAAAATGACAAAAACTTAACTAAAGTGAAAATAGTAAATATAAAAATAAAATCTAATTCAAAATAATAACAAGAACTATAATAGTATCTCAACAATACTAAAATAACACCATTCTGAATGTGCTGACTGAAGCTCTGCTTATGCGCTGAAATGTTTTCTTGGGAATAAATGTAATGCACATGTAAATGAATATGTGATGCATATAAACGCAACTTTCAGAATCAGAAATCAGGCCGGATTCATTCTGATTGACAAAAACCAATGCATGTAAACATAAGGATTGAAATGTAAATGCATGCGTGTCGTCTGCAGATGTCTGAAAGCTGGGCTCACGATGGATCCTGTAATAGTGGAGGCGTTTTTAGCCAGCCTGTCAAACCGGCTCTACATCTCCCAAGAAAATGACAAGTGAGGAAACAAACTGTCTGTCTGTCTGTCTCTCTGAGTGCTGTGATGTGATGTGCAGTATTGGGTTACTCTAAAAAAGTAATTCATTACTAGTTACTAATTACATTTTCAACAGTGTAATTAGACTACTGTACAAATTACTCTCTCCAAAACGTATTTAAATATTTATTACTAATTACTTTCTAAATCCTATATCAACCTCGACAAGTTAAGTTTCAAATAAACAATAGATAACTACATAAATTATTCTGGTCAAACTTTAGATTAGAGTCCAATTCTCACTATTAACTAACTATTTACTATGACCTTTGCCTCGATATACTCCTTAGTTGTTAAGTTTAAGAATTGGGTAGGATTAAGGATTTAGAATAAGTTTTTTTTTTACGTAATAATAAACAGCATTCCAGTAATATTCATGTTAATGACCAGCTAGTTAATAGTGAGAATTGGACACTAAAGTGTTACCAATATTCTTATTAACTCACCAAAGTATTTAAAGTGAGAAGGGTACATAAAAGCATGCATTTTAAGGTTAGACTTTAAATTTTGATGCTAAATCCACTATTGTATTGCTTATAAAAAATAAGAGTAATCCCTTTACTTTTTCAAGGGAAAAGTAATTAAATTACAGTAACTACCTAATAAAAATGTTTATCAAGACAAACTTTAGGTTGTTTAGCATGTTTCTAGCATGATTAGCAAGTTACTAGCATGTTGTTAGCATGAATAGCAAGTTACTAGCATGTTCCTAGCATGATTAGCAAGTGACTAGCATGTTTCTTGCATGATTAGCATGTTTTTAGCATGATTGGCCTGTCACTAGCATATTGCTGGCATGATTAGCATGTTACTAACATGTTTCTAGCATGATTAGCAAATGACTAGCATGTTTCTAGTATGATTAGCATGTTTCTATCGTGTTGCTAGCATGATTAACAACATTACTAGCATGATGCTAGCATGTTTCTTGCATGATTAGCATTTTTTATCGTGTTGCTAGCATGATTAACAACGTTACTAGCATGATGCTAGCATGTTTCTTGCATGATTAACATGCTAGTTGTTGGTATGTTTCTAGCATGATTAGCATGCTACTAGCATGTTGGTATGTTTCTAGCATGATTAGCATGTCGCTAGGATAGATAGATAGATGATAGATCTCAAGCCAACCTAATTACTCAGTAACTAGTTACACCCAACACTGGTGATGTGGCGGTGTGTTTCTCCTCAGAGAGGCTCATCTCATCCCGGATCACACCATCCGCGCACTCGGACACATCGCTGTGGCCATGAGAGACTGTCCTAGAGTCATGGAGCCCATCCTGCAGATCCTGCAGCAGAAGTTCTGCCAGCCGCCCTCGCAGCTAGACGTGCTGATTATAGACCAGCTGGGCTGCATGGTCATCACCGGCAACGTGAGGATCTCATTTACACGCATAATCACAGCCGCTCGCTGCGTGAAGCTGCGTTTATTTCCAGTCGATTCCTTCTTTGTTTGTCTCGTGCGCTTCACCACCCACAGCGTTGTACGTCTGCATCGTGACTCGTGTCTAATGAATTACGAGGTGTTTATTTATAAGCTTTTTTTAAAACCAGTAATTCAGAAGCTGTGAGCGAACAGTAGGGCTGCGACGATAAACCGATGCAGATACAATTCGTGGATCTTCCGATTGCATCGCGATTCTCTCTGGAATTGATTCTGAGTTTAGATTTGAACAGCAGATGGCGCTTTACACTAGTTTTTATCCACACACTCAAATGCTCACGAAGAAGAGCGCTGAAGAGCGCTTGTGCGTCTAAAGCAATAAGCCCCGTGAAGCCGTGGTTTACAGTGAATTCATTTCATGAATGTAATTTCACCTCGGCTTGGAACGCTTTTATGATTACTGTAAACACGGCCCACGAACCCACCTTTTCGAATTTTATGAATGATTATTTTAGGTTCAAGTGTGTTTAAGGGTTTGGAAACAAGCAGAGTACGGCTGTTTCTAAAGCATGCAGCGCCATCTGCTGTTCAAAAGAAACAAAAGGGAACGAATCGCGATGCATTCGGAAAATCTCAGAAGCGATGCCGAATCATTTCTCGATTCGCGATGCATCGATTTATTTTCGCAGGCCTGGCGAACAGAGCAGTTTAGTAAGCAATGAGAACTTTGTTTCAACTCGATCGGGGTTTGAAATGAACTTTTTCACTCACCAGCCTATTTGGCTGCTACTAGCTACTGGACATTCACTGGACTATTACCAGACAAAACAAAAAATATCAGAATATCAAAAATATTAAAATCACTGGATTTAAATATATTTGGTTTTCAATCTGATTCTGAGTCACTGAATGGGTGGCAAATGCAAAATAAATTAAGTCAAGTCAGTTATTTTTATAGATAGTCAATATTTTTTGATCGGAAAAAATAGAATTGAAAAGACATTCTAATGTACAGGAAAACCTGTTTAAAGATGTATTCAACTTGCTTTAATGCTTGAAAGCCTTTAGTCTTTGACCCATATACAAGATGTAGGATTGGTCGCATGTATATTTGTCCCGTGTATGTTTATTGAAATGAGAAGAATTGCCTTTTTTTCCCCTTTACTGTAAAGAATATTTTATTGGAGTATCCTGCTTTAAATGATGTTAGGAAACATTTTTACTTAAAATACATTAATGGACATTTAAAAAAAAAAGATTCTCCTGGAAAAGTTTTTAGAATATCAAATATCAAATTCTGTATAATTGTCGTTTTTGTTATTTATCTTTTTTTTTTTGTTGTCTTTTTGTAAAAAAAATATTTTTGTATTAAGACTATTTTAAGTCTTATTTCTCTCACGAATATGGCAAATCTACTGTATGTCACTGTATTATTAATGTATTGGAGTATCCTGCTTTAAATGATGTTAGGAAACATTTTTACTTAAAATACATTAATGGACATTTAAAAAAAAAAGATTCTCCTGGAAAAGTTTTTAGAATATCAAATATCAAATTCTGTATAATTGTCGTTTTTGTTATTTATCTTTTTTTTTTTTTGTCTTTTTGTAAAAAAATATTTTTGAATTAAGACTATTTTAAGTCTTATTTCTCTCACGAATATGGCAAATCTACTGTATGTCACTGTATTATTAATTTCATTATTATTATTATAAATAGAATGTGTTTGAATTTAAGATGTGGCGCTTCTCATTCTCTTTGTTTTGGTTTGTCGGGCATCTGTTTTGAGGACAGTGAGTGTATATGTGTTACTTGGCGGGTGTTAATTCCTGATCTTGATCTAAAAGATCATTTGTGTTTTTACTACAGCAATACATCTATCAGGAGGTCTGGAACCTGTTCCAGCAGATCAGTGTGAAAGCCAGTAATGTGGTGTATTCAGCCACCAAAGACTACAAAGACCACGGATACAGGTGTGTGTGTGTGTGTGAGCATGCAGACTTCACCTGATGCATTTTTATGCATTCATTTTACTGTATTAGAAATGCTTGATAGCATTTCTTGATAGCAGGAAGTGTCAGGCATTTTAACATTTTAAATGAGTCATATTTTACGCTATTGTAGCTTAATGAGTCCAGTCATAATATATGTCAATATATGTTGTAATTTAGTTTTTAATGACCATTTCCCAGCCTCTCTCTGAGTTTTAGAATACATAAAAATTTTAATTAAACAGGCTATTTCATTAGTTAGATTTTTGCAATTGTATCTTTTTAGATTTCTGTATGTATGCATTTAGACAGCCGAGTCCCATTTCATACTTGTATATGCATTTTATTTTAAGTGGAGGAGTTGCAAGCACAAATTATGATTTTGGAATGACTTATTAATTTTGACTTTCAATATGTTTAAAATGTTTCAATATGTTTTGTATAAAATTAATTTTCAAAATATTGAATACATTTTATTTTATTCTATTTAATAGAATAATATTACAATTATAATATTATGAATCATATGAAGTTATAATAGTATAAAATTATATTATAAATTAATAATAGTAAATTATGTAAATATTAATGACTTTGAATTTATGTAAATTACACTTGTGTATGAGCATAATTTACTAATAATTTTTTTTACTTAAAAGTGTTATTTTATATAAAGTATTTAACAGAATATTTAATATTACATTATTTTATACAATTAAATATAATAATATTAAAATTATAATATTATAAAATTATATTAGAAATTAATAATTGTTAATTTGCGTATTGGCAATTTACATCGTTAATCATCAGGACAGGTCAAATTACTGTGGGCTAATAAGTAAATTTTTGTGAATTCTGAAAGTTTTCTTCATGATATTTTACATGATTCATACATCTGTACTGTTTATTCCTTAAAGGGGTCATATGATGCTGCTAAAAAGAACATTATTTGTGTATTTGGTGTAATGAAATGTGTTTATGTGGTTTAAAGTAAAAAAAACACATTATTTTCCACATACTGTACATTATTGTTTCTCCTCTATGCCCCGCCTTTCTGAAACGCGTCGATTTTTACAAAGCTCATCGGTCTGAAAAGCGAGGTGTGCTCTGATATCACGCTGCGTAAACATAAAACCATGTCTGCATTTGTGATCGGAGAAATGACAAACAAGCACTAACGTTACTCTACACTGCTCAAAACTCGCGTTTGAATCATCAGTGGCAAATCCTTTAAATGAAAACGTACTTACAAACTCTAAATCAGAACAGCCGGCGTGAGCTGAGGCGGCGGGCAAGCGAGAGCTGAGCAGCACTAAGTTGATGTATTTCCTCAGCGACCAGCACAGATCAGCTCCAGGCATGACGAAGCGGATATCATCCTCTTTTGGAAGACCAAACAAAGTAGTTTCGCTTTCACAACGCAGCACACAGCGTCTTCACGACATGGCGGCAGCAACAACAATACTACAGCGAGAATAAAAGTTACGCCTTCTTTCTTTGCGTGAACATTTGGGCGGCGTTATGCAAATCTTCCCACATAGTGACGTAGACATGTGGGGGCGTGTTAGAACGAGCCGTTTTAGGTAGGTGTGGTTAACTCTTAACTTTTATAAAGAATATCTCTTTGGATTTAAAACTTTAGTCTTTGCATCTTTACAGATCTTCTTTATGCACCAAGAGCTTGTAACACTCCAAAGAGAAAGGAAAAATTGAAATCGCATCATATGACCCCTTTAAAATCCACTTCCAGCGTGTCTCTGGTGGTGGTTTAATGTAAAGCGTGTGTGTTTGTGCAGGCACTGCTCTCTAGCTGTGATAAACGCTCTGGCTAATATCGCAGCTAACCTGCAGGGGGAGCAGCTGGTGGACGAGCTGCTGGTCAATCTGCTGGAGCTGTTCGTTCAGCTCGGCCTGGAGGGCAAAAGAGCCAGCGAACGCGCCAGTGATAAAGGACCGGCCCTCAAAGTCAGTCTGTGTTTGACCTGCAGTCTGGCTCTACACTTACAGTTATTAAAAGGAGGATTCTAGAATGTTTCAGTGTGTCTTGAATGTTGTTTTAATTTAGTTATTTTATTTTCTAGGCATCCAGCAGTGCTGGTAATCTAGGCGTTCTCATCCCTGTAATTGCTGTGGTAAGACACACAGACAAACACACCATATTTAGACATCCGAGTCCCATTTCCTTCTTTTTATATGCCTTTTATTTAAGGGGAGGTGCTGCAAGCATAAGTTATGATTTCAATATTAAAATTGAATGATTTTGTATTAACAAAATATTTAATACACTTTATTTTATACCATTTAATAGAATAATATTACAATTATAATATTATAAGTAATACAATTATATTTATTATAATATTCAAAGGTCATAAAATTCCATAGAAAAAATGTAATATTAAAAATATTTAAATATTATAAATATTAAAAATAACTTTCATAGTTTTCTATTAAATTGTATAAATAAATATTTTGTTAAGTAACAAGTCACTGAGTTGTTGATTACATTGAAACACAAATAAAAAATATCAATATTTTCTTTTAGGCCTGTTTTACATCTGATATAATATGCAAATGTTAATGGAAAGGAAAAATGTTTTCCTGTTCACTCCCTTTAAATGATTTATGAGTTCTCTCAGGGCTAACATGCTTTTGAAGATCAAATAGTACATTTGGCAAAAGCATGAAAGTAGCTAATCAAAGATTTTGTGTACGTAAATTAGATACTGTTTTTAAAAAAAAAAATGCAAATGCAAGAACTCTTTCTGCTCTTGTTGGATGCTTCATTATTCATTTGTCTGTGCAGAAATTGTAATTAGATCTTGAGAGCCTGTGGTTAGATTTTAACTTCTCTGACAAATATTTACTTGTCTTGCAAAATGTTCTGCCATGTTCTGGGTGTACTCGAGCGTTGTTTTTATTCACCCTTTGAACAGATTAATTCAATAAACCAGTCCTCTGATTCATTTTATTTAACAACATGTTCTGCTTCAAAAATACACAGATACACAGTGTTTTTAAATTTCACTAGCATTTCTTTACAAAACTTACGTCACTTGATAAAACAAAACAACCATTATTCTCATCCGCTTATTTGGCTAACACTTTAGTTTCATTGTTATACAGTGATGCATCGGCCATTGCACTGCTGCTATTGTGTATGTGTATCTGATTAACTCTGTGAAGGGTCTACCACACGTCCCATGAACACAACGCAGCCTGTGCGATGCTCGTAGATGAGGAAAAGGAAGGGGCGGTCCACGATGAAACGCGTCTGTGTTGATAAAGGCATGAATCCGATACTTGTCATTGCTGCAGCCTCCGTACCTTCTTCATTCACTGTAATGGTGCCCTGATGCTTAAACTGAGAGAGAAGAGGAGGAGGGTTACAGGAAAAGAAGGTTATGATGGTGCAATGAAAGGTTAAAGAGTATGTTTTGTAAGAGATTAGGCATAGGCTACCTAAATTGCTCTCAACACAACAGTAAAAAGGCCTGTTGAACAAATTGAGTTAAATTGGTTTGGCACATATCAGTTGTTCTCTTACCCAGTTGATGATGACCTTCTCGGAAGTCATTGGAGAGAAGTCACCCTTTTCAGTGAATGGGTCCGTCAGCCCCATTTCCTTCAGGTGCTCAATTAAGTCGTAGTTCTGCTCTAGCTTAAACCGAGGGAAAACCACCTCACGAGTCCTAAAAGAGATAGATTTTAAGACCATGCCAAGCCGAAAAGACAAAGGAAGAATGATTTAGCCAAGTAGGATGCATTTCTGGATCAGCATTCTTATCAAACCCTAACACTAAACTCTAACCCTAATTTAAACCATAGACTGAACTATATTCCAAAACATAACATGCCACTAAATGTGGAAATTCAGGTAAATGACAGCAGGGTTATAAGAATATTGGTTAACTCTAGAATCTGAGAGGTCCAAAACTAACAAGGATATTGATCCAGGAACTTGTCCAATCTGGGGAAATTATGTTAAGCAATTCAAGCCATTCAAGCAAAGTACCTTGCTAACCTGTTTGCAACTTGGTCTCAAGCCTGCGGCTAGCTTTACCTGTTGGTCATGTTGTTAAGCCACTTGCTAATCAGGGTTGGGGAGATCTCTTGCTCCAGGGATCTCATTCCAGAGAGTTTCTGTGGAACAGCGATGATCATGCTTATGTTTCCGGCATAGGGCAGCTGCAGTATGTCGCAGTTGAGCTCGTGGTCAGCGGCCGCCAGGTAGCTTCCTTTGTTCTGCATCATGGGAACGCGCACCTGCTTTTTCTCATTGACACGGAATTGCCGGTAGTGTGTCAGTTCCTTTGGGAACTTCTGCTCCCACGTACCTGCATTGGTTGTGCCAGCGAAAACATCACATTGTGGTGTTATTTGTGAGCTGCATGCAATATTATTCCTTCTGACTGCTAATCAGAAGTTCTGAAGTAATCAGAAGATCTGCAGTAGGGGTAGGCAGCCCTGCTTCCGGGGGGGCTACAGTCCTGCACAGCTGAGCTAAGCAAACACACCAGCTTATCAATGTGTTCAGCAGTACTTGAAAAATTACAGCCCGGTGTTTTGGCAGCTTCAAATAAATTATAATTTTCTCTGATTTAGATAACCGCACCCGATCGTCACATTACAATTCTTAGTTTTGCATGATGATATGATGAATGGATGGTTCCTTTTTAACAGCAGATTCAGTGACGTTAGTGCTGATCTGCGCACCACTGCACATGACTGCGGCGCATTACGGTTCCACGGATACCGGAGCTGATCGCGGCTGCTCTAGTCAATGCTTGTTCAACGCTCTAGTCCACACTGTTTCGCTAATAGTCTTTTGTGAGTTGGCACCATGTGGAGGACGGAACAAAACCTTGTTGGAGCCGTAAAGGGTAACTGTAACATTATACGCTGATCGTGGGCTGCTTTAAATAAACATTTAGGCTATTTATAAAACAAAAGATCTTCTTTGGCCACATTAGCCTACTCAATAGCATTAACACAGGCTTTACTTCCTTCAAACTTTATTTGGAATGTCACCGTTTCTGTCACTTAAACTTCCCGAAGAGGCGAACACGCACACACACAAATGAAATCATCTGCCTTATGAAAAAAATTTATATAAAACATTAGAAAATGTAGTTAATATTTGCATCATTAATGATTTATCTCATCCACGTGCGAATAGCCACCCGCAAATAATCAGAATGCGTTTTTTTATTACCCGACCCACCCGATTTGCGGATTATCCGCAGTGGCCGTGGATATAACCGCCATCTGTGCATCACTAGTGCAAGTCTAGTGGGTGGACCAGCGTAGCTACGAGGTTTGCTAGCAGGACATTGGTCCTCCATGAGTGGAAGTGGACTCCCCTGGTTGAGACAGAAGGTGCCTGAAGAGAACCTTCATGTGCCTGAAGGTTTTTGTTTTCCTGAAGACTTTAAGCTTGTTCGAGATGCATCAGCGCTGCGCAGATCGATCGGCATATGACATCAATGCACCGTGAGAGCAATTCAAAAGCATAAAGATTTGTGTGCTCTCCAGATGCTCTTGTGGTACTTTGTGATACGCCGATCGGTCTGTGCAGTGCCGATGTATCTCAAACAAGCCTAAAATCTTCAGGATAACAAAAACCTTCAGGCACATGTATTGGAGCTACACTCTGGAGGTTATTGGCCCTCCAGGAGCAGGGTTGGACACCCCTGGTTGAGACAGAAGTTCCTATTCACCAAACTCTACAGCAGTTAGTCCTCAGGGCAGGCAGTTAGGGCCATTATCCTTCAGAGTTTAGTTCTCGTACTCATTAAACAAACCTGAACCAGCTAATCAAGGTGTTCATGATTGCAATAAACTTCCAGGCACATGTATTAGAGCTAAACTCTGCAGATAATGGACCCTTCAGGAGCAGGATTGGACACCCCTGGTTGAGACAGAAGTTCCTATTCACCAAATATCTACAGCTAGGGTAGACAGTCATGCTCCCGGAAGGCCTTCTTCTTGCAAAGTTTAGTTCTTGCCCTCATTAAACACACCTGAACTAGCTAATCAAGAGGTGTGTTCGACTTGAAGTGGCGCTGTGCAGACCGATCGGTGTATGACAAAGTACCGCAAAAGCAACTCGAAAGCATAAGGAGCCGTCTGCTCTCACGGTATTTGATGTCATACACCAATCTGTCTGTGCAGCGCCGCTTTATGTTGAACACACCTTAAGTCTTCAGGATCATAAAAAACTTCCAGGCAGGTGTGCTAGTGGTAAAGTCTGCAGGAGTGGGAGTAGACAACCCTGGTTGAGACAGAAGATCTACAACTAGGGTAGCCATCCCTTCTCTTGGAGGGCCATCATCCAGCAGAGTTTGGCTCCAGTCCTAATTAAACACACCTAAACTAGCTAATAAAGGTCTTCGGGGTTGCAAAATCCTTCAGGCAAATGTGTTGAAGCTACACTCTTCAGGAAATCGACCCTTCAGAAACAGGATTGAACACCACTTGTTGACTCAGATGTTCCTATTTGCCAAATATATACAGTTGGGGGAAGCCAACCCTGCATCCGGAGGGCCATCTTCTAGCACATTTTAGCTCCAGCCCCTATTAAACACACCTGAAACAGCTAATCAAGGTACTCAGGATCACTGGAAACTTCCAGGAAGGTGTGTTAGTGCTAAACTCTACAGGGCATTGGCCCTCCAGGAGTGGGATTGAACAACCCTGGTTAAGACAGAAGTTTCTGTTCACCAAATAGCAGGAATAGCCAAATCTGCTCCGGCAGAGCTACCATAAGCAAAGACACCTGAACCAGCTAATCAAAGTGTTTAGGATTACTTGAACATTTCAGCCAGGTGTTTTGGACCAGGGCAGGGAAACAAAGTCTGAAATAAAATAGTGCCCCAGGAGCAGGGTTATTTACGCTGATCTACAGATTTCGTTGTTGAAAAAAACAGTACAATTCCAGCCTACGCTGGTCTATGTTAATTTGGTACAGGTCATGTTGGTGGACCAGCATAGCTACGAGTTTTGCCAGCAAAACCTGTTGTAACCATCGGGGCTGGGGAACCATGTTCACAAGAAATGATGCTCCATGATGCTTGTTTGACTAGCCTCAATGTGACAATGAAGTCTTGCTGGTTGACCTAGTCAAGATGCTGGTCTATTTAGTCAGGCCAGGGGTGTCCAATCCTGCTCCTGGAGGGCCACTGTCCTGTAGAGTTTAGCTCCAACCACAATTAAACACGCAATGAACCAGCTAATCAAGGTCATACTAGGCATACTAGAAACTTCCAAGCAGGTGTGTTGAGACAAGTTGGAGCTAAACTCTGCAGGACAGAGGACCTCCAGGACCGAGTTTGACACCCCTGAGTCAGGCTTGCATCAAGCTAAATGTTCAACATTGAACTCAGTGGTAGTACACAAAACATTTAACATAGTACATGATTATTTGCTTTAGGATTAAGTACAGACTGTTCAAATGAAGGATTAAACCATTAGTCCTAAAGAGTTTCAGAATTTGAATGGGCTAGAATTGATTCACCTTTGAAGTAGAGATAGTTCAGGAGCATCACTGCCATGTTTGGGTCTACGCTCTTCAGCGGTTCCTTTATCAGACCTTTGGTGATCTTCTGAATGCGCTGGTTGGCCTTCACAAGGAAGGCTGGGTCGGCAAAGTCCACAGACTGCGGCTCTGCAAAGTAGTACGTCTTTGCATCACTGCGGAAAGCCTCCTGTATGCGTACATTACGTTTCACATACAGGTCATTAACGGAGCGTAAGTTGTAGCCGAAGTTCCGTCGGAAGAGCCTGTGCGTGAGTTTACGGAACAGCTTGTGCACGGTCGAGTTATCGTAATGAATGCTGGCGTTGATGAATTCGCCATATCCGAGAGTTTGGTAGAGTTGTTCCTGAGCGGTTGGGCCGACTCCCAGAGCCATCATGCCCATCGCAATGGAGATTCCGACAGGAGCGAGCAGAATGTTGTCCGTCTGGTTAAGTCGATTGCGCAGTTTCCGATAAAGCCGACACCCGAATCGGGCATTGACCACGTTGATGCGCTGTAGGCGAGTTCGCCCATGGAAAAGCCGCAACAGGCGTGCTCGCCGTATTTTGGGGTCACTGGGCTCCCCAAAGAGGTCCAGGTCAGGAGCAGGGGTGGAGATCTCATCTATATGGTCACCTTCGCTGTAGTCATCCTCGCCCTCTGCCAAGATCTTATCAAAGTCGATGTAGTCTTCATCTTCTAGCCCCTCCAAAGGGAGGTCATTCGTGACCGTGTTCTCCCGATGGAAGTCCAGGGGAATGGACTCCATGTCTGTGTTCTCTCCATTTGGAGAAAGTCCACGGGCATCCACCGACTTTTCCTTCTCATTTCCGTCAAAGTGTGAACTGAGGTCTTTGACCCCAGCCAGAGCGGGGCTGCTCAGGAGAGAGGCTATTACTATAAATGTAACGAACCACATCCTATGGAAACAAGCACAATTGGGAATACTGTATGATTGACAAATTTACTTATATAACATTTCTCTAAAATATAGCACGCAATGCTCATATGCCGTGTGCACATTTACATTTATTAATTTAGCTTATGGTTTTATGGTGCAATCACTTGTTAATGTCACGTGAAATATGTGAAACACATGTGAAACGTGGTTTTGTAACATTTTCATGGTGTAAATGTGTGAAACCCATGTGATCACATATGAACACATGAACATGGACACGTGTGGACAATAAGTGGTCACGTGGAAAAGTGACCACATGGGTTTCACAGATTTACAACATGAAAATGTTCCAAAACTACATGTTTCACACGTGCTCTATATGCGTTTCACATATTTCACATGTGATTTTAACATGTGATTGCACATGGTAAAGTTCATATGGTTTTTCTGTAAGGGAAAGTAGTGTTCATTTAATAATACCGCATTAATATCCTGTTATGGTATTTATTTATATTTTATTTTTTTATGATTTTAATATTGTTAGTATTCATTTTAATTTAAGTATTTTTTTTATAAATTGAAGTTTTTATTTTATTTTATAGTTTTTTTATTTTCTATTTAGTTTGTTTTTATTTCAGTTTTAGTACATTTAGGTACTTAACTATTAACTATTTTTAGTAAGCTGGCAAGGCAACCTTTTTGATATTCATTTCATTTGAGTTTTATTTTATTTTAGTTTTATTTCTTTTTTTTCAATATTACTAGTTTTTGTTAACAATAACAACACTGATCCAAAATGACTTACAAGTGAAGTAAATCCAAAGCTGTGACCACTACAGACAGTTATGAGGGCACCCAATATCCTGAATAGTGGTTGATCAATATATATTTTTTCAATGATGGTTAAAGTTTTGCTTTTGGTTACTTCCTTCGCTTGATCTCAGAAATATCACACCAGTGTCGACAGTCTTATGAAACCTTATATGCTAGTTTGAGCTGCTTACCTGTTCTGTCCCTCTGGAATCTCTGTGTTTGTGTGTGTGTGGACGGTCCGTTTGTGGATTCGTTCTCCAGCTGGACTTTGAAGTGGCTCTTCACTGATCAAACAGCAGCGAGTTCAAACAGTGCTCACAGACCTTCATCTGACTCATTTAACTCTTGAAATGCACTCAATACCTTAATACTGGGTGCAAATTAATACAAATATACTGTAAATGCCCTCTTAGGACTTATATTACCATAGTTAAACTGCATAGCTTTTATCCTAATATCCCTGACAACTGTATAAAATGTAATGAGGAAATTAGCATACCGTTTCATTGTATGCATGCAGAGAGTTGCAGTTGTTCTGGAGAAGGTTCTTAATGTGGTTTGTGACATGACTGAAAAGAGTGTTTCCTTTGAGGCTAAATTGTGCTTATTGCATGTTTACCCTGCTAATTTTGTAAATGCAAGCTTATAGATTTTAGATTTATCCTGGTTAAAAGTGCATGGAAAAGCAATCAATGGTGTGAAGAAATGTCATGTAATCTTGCTTTGGAAAACTTGACTCGTATATGCATTCTTAGAGAAAAAAATGTATATGTATTTAATGATTTGGGCTCCATTTAGACTTTTTTGTGTGTGTAATGCAATGCAATGAATTGCAAGCAGATAATGTGTAATATTAGTGTTGACTCTAAACAAATCCCTGATCTGATAAGAAAATTGTTACAATGATCAATAGAGTAACCAATATTAAAGTTATAGATTTATATTTTATTGTTTTAATAAAAAATTTTTTTTTTTATTTTATTTATATGTTTGGCTATAATAACAAATGTGTAATAAATTGAATTTAAAAAAAAATGAAATGCACAAACAGTGGCAGTTTTTTAGTGGCTATAATCCTTTGAAAGAACGGCCAAAATTTTGATTGTTTCTATGTTTAAAGTTAAATTAATGTGTTTTGTATTTGATTGTATGCAGTTGACCCGCCGATTGCCCCCCATTAAAGAGGCCAAACCTCGCCTTCAGAAGCTGTTCAGAGATTTCTGCCTCTATTCTGTGGTCATGGGGTTTGCTGTGGAAGGTTCTGGTAAGAAATTAACGTTGTTAGCATTTCAGCATGCATTCACCAAGTCTTGTGTGCTCTTGTGATCTCATAACCTGAAGAGTTCTTTCTGAGATTATCTCTACAGGATTGTGTCTGTGTGTTTTAGGTCTGTGGCCTGAGGAATGGTACGAGGGAGTGTGTGAAATCGCCACTAAATCTCCGCTGCTCACGTTCCCCAGTGGAGAACCACTGCGTTCAGAACTCCAGTACAACTCGGCTCTGAAAAACGACACGGTTACTCCGGTATCCCAACGATCTCTCACTGTCTCAGTGTTGATTTACAGCTGCCAGGCGTTAAAGGGACAGGTCACCCCAAAATGGCAGTTCTGTCATCATTTGCTCAACCTCAGTTTATTCCAAACCTGTATGAATTAGTTTCTTCTGCTGAACACAAAATAAGATATTTTGTAGAATGTTGGCAACCAAACAGTTGCTGGTAGCCATTGACTTCCATAGTATTTTTTTTCTCTCCATACAATGGAAGTCAGTGGCTACCATCAACTGTTTGGTTACCAACATTCTTCAGAATATCTTCTGATGTGCAGAAAAAAAGAAACTCGGAAACAACTTGAGATTGATTAAATGATGACAGAATTTTCATTTTTTGGGTGAACTGTCTCTTTAAGTCAAAAATCTATAATACTGTTATCTGTAACACTAAGTGTTAAAGTTGCATGTGAAAGTGCAGTGTTTGTGCTCCTCAAATCAGATGTGCTGCTGTTTCTTTTGTTCCTCTTTTGTAAGTCACTTTGGAAATATGCATACATTTTAATGTACGTTAGTAGATGCATAATTTTCACTTGCTAGATGATAAAACACATGAAAATTTTATTTTTAGCTTACTTATTGTCTTTTTATTTTTAAATTTTTTTTAGCTTATTGACTTATTTGATTTAACTCCCAACAGTTTTATAAGAAAAACTGATTAAAAAATGCAAAGCAACCAAATTTATTTCTTAGAAATTAACTGGATGACATTAACTGAACATGCAACGTGTTTCGATCATATGACATATGCAAGATCACATGCAATTTTATAAAAATGACAAGCAGTATACAGTTTATACTAGCTTGCCATTCTGAACCCAGCCCTTGTTTTGTTTGTTAGAAATCTTCTGGTTACACTGTATTTCAATTGTCTACTTCAGACTAACTTTGCAAAAACATGTCAATTAACTCTTATTAGAGTATTAGTAGACTGTTAGGTAAGGGGTTAAGGCTACTAGAATAAGTTGACATGTACTTGCGAAGTTACTTATAGTTAGTAGAATAAGTGAGAGCAGATATTAAGCAGACTATTTTCTAATACTCTAATGACTGCTAGTTGACATGGAGTTACCGATAGTTAGTGGAATGTCAAATTAAACTGTTACCGATCTGGTTTTGAAGGCGGAGTTAAGTGAACTGCGCTGCACCATCATTAATTTGTTGGATCCGTCACCCGAAGCCGCTGCCCTCATCAATAAACTCGACTTCGCCATGTGCACTTACCTGCTGTCTGTGTACCGGCTGGAGTATATGAGGTTCGAGACTCTTTCTCTTTCTGACTGTCCTCAGAGCAGCTCCTCTCATTGTGGGGATTTTATGTGATTTACCCATCTGTCTCTGTTTTATTCATTCTCTTCCACAGGATGCTGCACTCGAATGATGCCGACCGCTTCCAGGTGATGTTCAGATACTTTGAGGACAAGGCCATCCAGAAAGACAAATCAGGTCAGAAACTTTACAGAATTGAATGTTGTTAATTTAGTAGATTCAAAATGTTTGCAAGAAGCAAAAATCTAGTTGCAATTATACAAAGCATGTTTTTCACTAAATGTACATGAAGAATCGTATATAATAATTTATATGTTAACAATATGACAATAAACAGTGATATTTACCCACATTATATTTTACTGCAATATTTTGATATGAGAAATGCAATACGGAGAATCATGAATATTTTTGAGGGATTGAGCTTATTGAGAGTTTATTCAAAGTGACTAGTTGAACTGAAGAAATGCAAACTCTAACACTGTCGAATCATCCGTCTTAACTCGCTAATCTAACTAAACTAATCACAATATGACTTAAAATTTATTTAGTTTTTGATATAGTAAATTCTAAATATTTACTATAAGAAGTAAACTAAAATATTTTTGGCTCTTTGAGAAATTGCTTTTGTTCCACTTTTATAAGTCACTTTGCATGAATGCATAAATGTTAATGTAAGTTATTAGATGCATATTTTCAACTGCTGGATGATAAAACAAATGAAAAATATATATATAGTGCTGTCAAATGATTAATCGCATCCAAAATAAACGTTTTTGTGTACATAATATGTATGTGTGTACTGTGTATTTATTATGTATATATAAATACACACTCATACAGTATATATTTTGAAAATATTTATTTGTATTTACATATATTTATATTTATATAATTTATATTATATATAAATATATTTAATATACAAATATAACATTTTTCTTAAATATATACATGCATGTGTGTGTATTTATATATACATAATAAATATACACGGTACACACACATATATTATGTACACAAAAACTTTTATTTTGGATGCGAATAATAGCATAGATATTAATCGTTTGACAGCACTAAAAAAATATTTTTTACTTGTTTTTGACTTATGTTTTAACTCCCAAACAGTCAAACAGGATCATAAACGAATCACATGATCTTTAGGAAACTTCATGGCCAAATAAAAAAAAACACTCTTCTGTTGCTTAATTTTATGTCAAAACCCTATCACTGCAAATCATCTTTATCATGTCTGTCTCTCTCCTCTGTATCCGTATGCAGGCATGATGCAGTGTGTGATTTGTGTGGGTGATAAAGTCTTTGAGGTTTTCCTGCAGATGATGGCAGAGAAAGTGAGTTGAGTGTTTGAAGGATCTCTCAGCGCTGAACCGAACGCATTATTGATCACTTGTTATTGATAATGACATTGCTTCCTATTCCAGCCCAAGACTAAAGAGCACGAGGAGGAGCTGGAGCGCCACGCTCAGTTCCTATTGGTCAACTTTAACCACACCCACAAGAGGATCCGCAGGGTGGCAGATAAATACCTCTCAGGACTCGCCGAAACGTACAATTATCCACACATCCTCTAGTTTTCTAACTCCTTACCTAGACGGCATATTAATAAGCATCACTTATGATGTAACCTGAACAATTTCACCCAGTATTTGTATATTCCTTGAACTTTTTGTGCTTATTTTATGCTTATTAGAGTATAGAGTTCCACATGAAGTCTGAAGGCGCTTATAACTTGCATTTGAGAACACAAATGCAGAAAAAAATCTTCCCACTTGTAATGAGAATCATATATAAATATGTTGTCAGCAAAAGATCTTTAAGGTCTCCTTGCAGTTTTTCAACCGAAATAAAAGCTCTGGGGTTTAATGTTTGAAAGAAAGACATAAATATTAGAATTTACATTTTACTGTTGTTCTATAAAATAATTTTATATTTTTATTTGATATATTTCTAGCTTTTATAACAGTAGTATTATTGCTATAATAAAATATTTCTTTATTGACTGAATTTTTGTAATTTCACAACAATATTAGTAGTAGTAATGATTATAAAAAGTGGTAGTAATATTACTATCATACTATATTACTATCAATAATATCATTTTAATTAATCTTTTGTAGTATTTTTGCTGTAGTCAAATATTTCCTCAATAGTTTTTTCTCTTTTTGTAATTGAATGAAGCAACAGTATTAAAATTTTTTGTTTTTTAAATGCCCTATTTTTTGTAATCTAACAGCAATATTATTGTTGTTATTATTATTATTATTATTGAATACTAATTTTAGTATTTTAATCACAGTAGTAGTATTGCTATAGTAAAATTTCTTTATTTAATTTAACATCAATCACAATAATTGTAGTTGCTGTTTTAATAACAACAACTAATAATAATAATAATTATTATTATTAGTTGTAGTAATTTTTAGGCAAGGCAAGTTTATTTATATAGCACATTATATGCAATGGTAATTCAAATTGCTTTATATAAAAATGAATTAAAATAGCCATAAAATAATCACAACAATAAATTAAAAAAATTAAAATGATTAGTTAAGATTATAATGACAGTTAAGAATAAATAATTAGGATACATAAAATACAGTGCAATATTATTAAATACTAAAAATCTGTTGTTATTATTGTTTTTGTTGTATAGTCACATACAATAACACTAAAAGCTCAAATCTCTGTTTGTCCTCTAGGTTTCCTCATCTTCTGTGGAGTGGAAGGGTTTTGAAGACCATGTTGGACATCCTGCAGACTCTGTCTCTGTCTCTGAGCGCCGTCAGTACAACAGACATCCAGAAATCAGCACATGCATGATCAATATTACTAGTATTTACACTCTCACACGTCAGTCTCTTAACCCAGCCTCCTGTTACACAGGACATCCACAAAGACCAGCCATACTACGACATTCCCGACACTCCGTACAGAATAACTGTCCCAGACACGCATGAGGCGCGAGAGGTGAGACGGACGCAGCCCTTGAGCCGAGGATATGTGCTCCGTCTGAGTCCAGTGGTTTGAAATGCTTTGTGTTTGTTGTGCAGAGCATCGTGAAGGACTTTGCCGCCCGCTGTGGCGAGATCTTGAAAGAGGCCATGAAATGGGCCGCTTCGGTTACCAAATCTCATCTCCAGGTTAGTATAAGTATGCACTAAAAGTATGTACTTTGAGTCTGAGATGTGGTTTATATGCTCATATTGTTGTATGGTCATGCACTCATGCAGACAACCTGGATCCGAGTCTGATTCCAGCCATTCACTGATCCATCTTTTTTTATCTCATCATTTCCAGTCCCATCAGCTCTGTTGAAAACAAAAAAACAAGCTATTATGAAAAATAAATATTATAATTCATCTGATTGTATTATTGTTAATAATATTAAACGTCACTGTTAAAGCATTTTTAGCAGCCTTTGTCATGTGCTGTTTGCATGTTGGTAAATTAATCAAAATTCTCTATTACTTTTGTTCGTATGTTTAGGTTTATAAACTGCTGTTGCAGCTTCCGCTACGTATTTCTAGTTACTTATTTATTTTTATTTGTAATTTTAGAACTGGGAAAAAAAATCTGATCTTCTATAGCAGATGGATTTGTGGGTAATATTAGCCTCAAAAATCGAGCACAGATGCTTACTTCCACCAGAAATAGTTTGCCATCTGGGCTCCTTTGGCAAGTGATTGGACGTGAATGGGATGCAGTGTTAGTTTGTCATCCTCAGTTGGAAATCAGTCAGCTGTTGTAATACTACGGTGTTCTTTGAGTGCCGTGTAAATAGTACCAAGGTTTATGAATATGTTAATCATGATTTATTAATCATGTTCAAAAGTTTGGTTCTGTAAGATTTTTAATGTTTTTAAAAAGAAGCCTCTTCTGCTCATCAAGGCTGCATTTATTTGCTCAAAAGTACAGTAAAAATTGTGAAATATTATTATAATGTAAAATAGCTGTTTTCTATGTGAGTATCTGTTGAAATGTAATTTATTCCTGTGATGCGCAGCTGTATTTTCAGCATCATTACTCCAGTCTTCAGTGTCACGTGATCTTCAGAAATCAGTATAATATGCTGATCTGCTGCTCGAGAAACATTTCTGATTATTATCAATGTTGAAAACACTGCACAGTACTTTTGTGGAAACTGTGATACATTTTATTTTTCAGGATTCACAGATGAATAGAAAGTTCAGAAGAACAATATTTATTTGAAATAGAAATCTTTTGTAACATTATATGTGACGCTGCAGCACAAAATCAGTGTTAAGTCGCTGGGGGATATTTGTAGCAATTGCCAACAATACATTGTATGGCTCAAAATGATAAATTTTTCATTTATACCAAAAATCATTAGGATATTAAGTAAAGATCATGTTCCATGAAGATATTTTGTAAATTTCCTACCGTAAATATATCAAAACTTAATGTTTGATTAGTAATATGCATTGCTAAATGCATTTGGACAACTTTAAAGATGATTTTCTCAATATTTAGATTTTTGTGCACCCTCAGATTCCAGATTTTCAAATAGTTGCATCTCGGCCAAATATTGTCCGATCCTAACAAACCATACATCAATGGAAAGCTTATTTATTCAGCTTTCAAAAAATGGACCCTTATGACTAGTTTTGCCAAGGTCACAAATGTCTTTACTCTCACTTTTGATCAATTTAATGCATCCTTGATGAATAAAAGTATTAATTTCTTTAAAAAAGAAATCTGTTTGTGTCTGTCTCAGGAGTATCTGAACAAGCATCAGATCTGGCTGTCGGGTTTGTCTCAGCACACGGGTTTGGCGATGGCTACCGAGAGCATTCTCAGCTTCGCGGGATACAACCGTCAAAGCACAACGCTGGGGGTGAGAAACACACCTGACCCAGAGTTCCTGTTACAGACACACATCCTGATGCTAACCAGTGCTGTGTCTTACGGTAGATGGTTACTGAGATGGTAACTGAGGTTTTTGGCCAGATTAAGGTAAGACGGTAGCGAGTCTTTAGCTGATCAGAATAAAATCATCAATCGTTTTGTAAGAAGTCTTTAGGAAAACTACTGATTTATTCCATATGCCCAATCAAATCCACTAAATTCACTAAATCCAAACATCTTGAACTGCTTTAAGATTCACAGAACATCTGAATATGTAGATCATGTGAACACACAAATTGTTTATATTAATGCATTTATGCATTTATTTATACATGCAGTTGTTTATGCATTGTGACATTATTTTGGACAATTAAGCATACACAATTATAAATGTAAAAAAGTCTGATTCTTATGTAATATAAATATTAATATATTTTTATTATCAATAATATGATATTAATATATTTTGATAATTATATGCATTTATTTGTACATGCATTTATGCACTTATGTATACATTATGAATTTACATACATTTATTTATTGCATTTATTTATGCACTGACAATTTTTGAGAATTAAGCATACTTGCACAATTCTAAAAAGTAAAAAGTTTGTAAAAAGTTTTATTTTTAAAAGTATATATATTTTTTAATATTAATATGCATTTATGCATGCATTTATACAATTATGCAATTATTATTCATTTAAATATTAATTTTTATATATTTATTTATTCACTGCACTGCGCTTTAAGCTCATTTAAGGTCATTAACAGAATTAATTGCTGTAAAGCTGCTTGGAAACAGTGCGTATTGTGAAGAGCGTTACACAAATGATGCTTTTCACAATATACAGCTTAAAACTAACAAGATATTTCAGACGTGATCCCAGCTAACACACTCACTGCATTTCAGCTGTGTGATATTGATTATTTCTGCAATCATGCTTTATGAATATTCATTAGCACTGTTGTGTTCATATGAATTTAGCTCTTGTTTGTCTTTTAGTTTTTTGGGCCTTTTAAACATGTGTTTTTTTGCATGCTTTGCACTATTTTGCGTAATGTCTTGTGTACAGTAAACGTGTGGTGGGCATTATTTTGTCATTCACTTTATTTGTGCCGTTACATCATTGCATCTCTGCTAACCGCTGGCTGCTAACTCATCTGTGTGTGTGCTGTGATTGGCTGGCGGTGGGTTGGTGGGTGTGGCCTGTCGTGTGCTCCTCCCCCTCGCCCCAGGCAGCTTTTCCTCAGGTTGGTTCTGTTACTGTTGTCCTCGCTGCTTTCATTGGCTCCGTCTGTAACTCATTTGTCATTTATGAACCAGTATGCATTTACATAAAAAGGAAATCAGTATATGTTGTTATCATAGCAGTAGAGCGGTCAGCTTGTCTTTATAGATTAATGGATGTATTGTAAGTCAGAAATGTCATTAGTAATGTTTGCAGGAGGATGTTTTAACTGGTCAGTTTCCATCATTCCCAGGTTACCCAGCTGACAGAGAGGCCCACCTGCGTGAAGAAGGACTACTCCAACTTCATGGCGTCGCTCAACCTGCGTAACCGCTACACTGGAGAGGTAAACGCTTCAGTAGGGTGTTTATGAGTTATAATCTCAACAATCATAACAAGAACATATTTCATATGACTCATATTTCACCAAACATTAAAAGAAAGAAATAAGAAAATATATGTTTTTGTAATTTTGCATAAAGAAAATAAAGTAAAATGCAAATTTAATTTTTGTGCACTTTTATTTGTGTTTGTTTATTTATGTGTTTTATGTGCTTATTTATGCATTATTGTACTAATGCATTTATTTATGCATGACATTTATGCAGTTTGTGCATTTGCGGGGTTTGCCCATAGATTTATTCATGCACTTATTTATATATATATTTTTTATTTCTACAATTATGTGTTTATTAATAAATGTATGCATTTTTTTGTACAATTTGTTTATGCATTTATTTATGGACTTATTTATACATTTATTTAGTTATTTGTGCATTTATGCATATTCATGCATTTATTTATGTATTTTCCATGCATTTTTTATATGTATGCATTTGTTCATTTATACAGTTATATATGCATTTTTAAATGCATGCATTTATTCATGCATTGTGACAATTTTATGACAGTTCTGCACAATTTGACTCTTCTTTAAATTCTTTAAATTACTGAAATGTAAAAAAAAAATTCTCATTATACTCCGTCATCATTCTGTAATTTAAATGATACTTAAATATTTATTTATTTTAAATGATATATTATTTATTATTCCTTTGCATCTAGGGATTTGTATATTATGGTAGTATTAGCTGTACTGCTTAATAACATATCATGTTAAATATATCACCATTTTAAAGGCATTAAAAAGACTTAATTTTCTTGTCTGTCTGTCTTCTCGTTTTTGGGGCGATTTATGTTTGCGTCTGTAATGTAAGAGGGCAGCATTTGATTGTGTGTGTATATGTGTGTATTAAGGTTGCTGGGATGCTGCAGTTTGCCGAAGTGACATGCAGCAAGTCAAACCTCAGCAAGCTGATGGTTTCTCAAATGAGTGACGCTCTGGACGCCAAAGACTCGGACGCATTCACTCAGAACATGTTCAAGATGACCGCGCTGCTCATTAGCACTAAAGGTAGCGCCCAGACAATCACACCGACCGTGTCGAATGCAGATCATGTTTGAGTGACACACAAACGTCTCTGTCTCAGGCTGGGATCTTCAGCTGCTGCATCACCTCTGCTGGTCTCCTCTGAAGATGTTCACAGAGCAGGGCATGGAGACGGCCATCGCCTGCTGGGAGTGGCTGCTCGCTGCTCGCAACGGAGTTGAAGTCCAGGTAAGACTCTGAATGCAGGATTATAACAGCATCATGTGCTGTAAGGTCGCAGTGCTCATTGCATGTGTGTGCAGTTCATGCGTGAGATGGCGGGCGCCTGGCAGATGACCGTTGAGCTGAAGATGGGCTTGTTCTCAGAGACAGAGTCAGAGGCCGATCCTTTAGCTGCTTCAGAAGAGAGTCAGCCGCTGCCTCGTCCACCCAACGTCACGCCGCATTCGCTCTGGATTGAGGTCTGTATCGCACATAACAGCACACTGCCATAAAACTCTTACTTTTTATGCTGAATATATAGTATGTATACTGCGAAAACCATGTCAAGTCAATGTTATTTATATATAGTTGTCATAAGTTTACATGCACCTTACAGAATCTGCAAAATAATTTAATAAGAGGGATTATAAAAATTGCATCTCGTTTTTTAGTACGGTCCAAGAATTCAACACGCTACATTAAAGCAGTAGTTCAGACCAAAATGAACATTTGCTGAAAATGTACTCACCCTCAAGCCATCCAAGGTGTAGTTGAGTTTGATTCTTCATCAGATTTGGAATCTATATACAATGAATAAACTCCATGAAATTAGTCCCAATATTGGAAAAATTATTTTCTGTCAATTTTCGAACCAATGGGACCAGATCGTTTATACCCGCTGTAGAATAGGCCAGCACACACAAGTTTTTAATACTAGGAGAAGATCCTCCAACATGTTCT